TCATTCTAACAATCTTTCTCTAGATCGAGTTGTGGATTATAGAATTTGATTCATTTGTTTATTTGTTTGTGTGTTCGATCCTAGTTACTATATACGATCTGTACTCTTGCGGAGCTTGTTGAGTATAGGAATATTATTATTTGATCATAATTCTATACCTAGATTTACAACATCAAGTTTTTGGCATCGTTGTCGGGAAATTTGCGTCTGACATCCTTCAGCACTTCGCCCGTTGTTGTTGGCCATCCCCTCCCACAACGCTCGACGGTAGACATGAATGGGTGCTCTTGATAGCAAAGCTTATCATCCAAGTGATCATCTACCAAATATGGAAGGAACGAAACTAACGGATCTTTACGGGGCGGTCTCACGATATCCCGGAAATCAAGCGTCAAATGGACATAGTGATGGGAAGCATCCTTCTTCCTCTATCGCAATCCGGTCCGATGGCTGACAGAGAATCATTGGAGAGTTGGTTCTATTTGACCAATCCATCCCGAACTTTGCTGGCAGCGACACTTTCCTAATCTATTTTGGGTCTTGCCTTTTGTCATGGGATTCATGTATGGCAGCAAATACGCTGAATTGTCCGATTGAAGAAGAAGCAGCAGCGTACCCTGTTGCAGAGGCGATAGACGAACAAACCCAAATGGGAACAGAAACCAGGATTATTAGGAGAAGACAGTAATGGTCATACGCACGAATCGTCGGCAGTATTGACTGTGGAGCTTTTGCCCAGATCCTTCGTTCAGATCATCCTATTTATTTTCTCTGTATTTTTTTTAATTTATTTGAGGAATTATTTAATAATATATTAAACAGTAAAGTTAATTAATCATTTGTTTAGAATCATTAATGATTTCTCAAAATAAATTTAAATTGCTGGGGAGACCCTAAGTGAACTTTGGGGATGATCTAAACATGAGTTTTTATGTAGAAAATATAGAAACTGGCACAAATTATATACAAATTAGTCACGAATCAACACTAAATTACGCGGGTTAATAATAATTTTAGAAGTACATAAATTTTTATTTTTATATGTTTCAAAAATATTCGTTTCTAAATTTAATTTTAATTTCATTTTTTTATTAACCAAACTTATTGATCGAGTATGAAAAGACAATAATTTTAATTTGTGAATGAAATTGATAATAATATACGAGTTGGTATATATTAAGGATTGTTAATAATTGGTAATGGTATAAATTTTATATTCCAGATGATTTGCAATATGTCTTCTAAGAATAATAGAATCTTCCATAAGTGAACCTTTTTATAAATATTATATATATATATATAGAGAGAGAGAGAGAAAGCATTAGACTATCGATATACGATTTTAGAACCGGTAGAAGAAAACTTATATTTGGCAAACTATTAAATAATGTTTCGATAATTAGAAATACACAGTTTTCTATTATTTCTAATTTAAATTTATATTCGTTCCAATAAACAACTTGTGCCAATTGGTTATATTATCAATAAAAATAATAATGCAAACACGATAGACGCATTCACATGAAAATCATAAAAGATGGCGCTAAGGCAGCAGCCAAATGAGACGACCCGGCCAAGGGTATTTATGTCATTTACTAACCCCACCTTCGGCCTATAAATTCCTCCTCGCCTCCACCGGACAAACCACGAAAACGTAACTCAAAGCAACATTCTCATAAACTCTCACACATTTTGCGGTGAAGAACTCTTTGAAAATCTTGAAAATGGCGGAGAAGAGCAAGATTCTGGTGATCGGAGGAACAGGGTATTTCGGTAAATTCATGGTCCAAGGAAGTGCGAAATCGGGGCACCCGACGTTTGCGCTGCTTAGAGAGTCCACCGTGTCGAATCCCGACAAGGCCAAACTGGTCCAGGGTTTCAAGGATCTCGGCGTCAACATACTCTACGTGAGCCTCTCTTTCTCTTCAGATTTTAATTTTTCTAAAGATTTGAGATTAAATCCATGATTTGAGCGGTTGACTGACGGTTGATTTGGTGCAGGGAGACATAAACGATCACGAGAGCTTGGTGAAAGCGATAATGCAAGTGGATGTGGTGATATCGACAGTTGGGAACTCGCAGATCTTAGACCAAACTAAGATCATTGCAGCAATCAAGGAAGCTGGAAATGTTAAGGTCAGCTTCTCCATTCATTCATGAATCTCGATTATCAACAAGATCGTAAAACCCGATAAAATAAAACTAAGTTGGTTTTGTTCATCTCACTGCAGAGATTCTTACCTTCGGAGTTTGGGAACGATGTTGATCGTTCACGGTCCATCGGCCCCGCGAGAGAGGAGTTTAATCACAAAACTCAGATCCGTCGGGCCGTGGAGGCCGCGGGAGTACCATACACGTACGTGAACAGCAACTGCTTCGCCGGTTATTTCACGCCTTCCCTGTTCCAATGCCACCTCGGGATTTGGAGCCCTCCTAGGGACAAAGTCGGCATCTATGCTGACGGAAACGTTAAAGGTACGATTTGTCAGATACATTTTCACGTCTCTAGGGCTATTTAGGATTTGGATATTGATTGGGTTGCGATCCTTTTCCTGCAGCCATTATGAACAAGGAGGAAGACGTGGCCGCATACACCATGAAAACGGTCGATGACCCGACTACTCTGAACAAGATTCTCTACGTCAACCCTCCGAAGAACATTCTCTCCACGAACGAAATCGTCGCCTTGTGGGAGAAAAAGATTGGGAAAACTCTCGAAAAGACTTACATTTCCGAGGAAGAACTCCTCAAGAGCATTGAAGGCAAGCTCATCATACTACAATATATATATGCTCAAGTGTGTGTATATATACACACACACATTAATTAATTACACATATTAATCTCGTGTATTACTTGCTGCATCTGCAGAGTCCCCGGCTCCCCTCAATTATTTCTTCGCCCTGAACCATGCGTTGTTCATCAAGGGCGATCTCACTTGGTTCACCATCGACCCTTCAATCGGATTGGAGGCTTCGGAGCTTTATCCAGATGTCAAGTACACAAGCGTCGACGAGGATCTTGACCAGTTTGTTTGAGTGAACCCTTTTGCGTGCTGCGTGTTTGGATGAAGATTGCTTTATATGCATATTGAAGATTTGTCCGAGAGAGACCGTGATGAATTTCTCTTCTTGTATTGTATTGCTTTTTCTTGTTTCATTACATTAATAAAGTTTTATGTTTCGTCTACGCTTTACTTTTTTAATTATATACATAATTTTGGATCATTGATCCAAAATAAATTGCACCAAGGTTCTATTGGGACCATAATATGTTAAAGTTTCATTTTGATCAGATTGTTGTTTGGTCCGTGCGGCATTCGCTAAGTCTTTTGGACAGAACGAACATTTGTATCCGACCTGTTTTCAATAAAATCCCGATTCGTTTAACTCGCGATCCTAGAAACGCCCATGTCTCTGCGGTGTAACCCTCGTTCGGTCTCGCTTACAAGAGAAATGTTTTTCTTGTATTCTCATTAATAATAATACATGAATATATAGGCATATGTAATCAACGATTAAGTAATGAATAGCCAATATTCTAAGCGAGACCAATCTTATCTGACGAAGATTGAAGTTCGCGCAGAAGAGATTTGGTGAGTGCATCTACAAGTTGATCTTGAGATGTCATATGAGTCACCCGAAGTCGGCCATTTTGCACCAATTCTCGAATGAAACGGTAATCTCAGAGACTGATGTGACACGAATGTGCGGTACGTATGCGCGAGTTGGGTTGCACGACAATGGTCGGCAGCGCAAAAAATTGCGGCGACAAGGCCAGAGAAAAAAAAAAGAAAGTAAAGGCGCAAAAAGTGCGACGCATACTGCGTGATAGTTTAGCAGTGAAGCCATTGGAGAAAAAACAGTGATGCAAATACGCAGATCGAATATCGGAGTTTTCTAATCGAAATGGGATAAAATCCATATTTAAAGATCTCACAACGGGTAGGGTTGACGTCGATAAACGAACGTCGTAAAAAAAAATATAAAAGTAGCACGTCAACTAGGGTTGATGGTGATGAATACGCTTTCGGATTCAACCAACATTGTTGATTAGAAAAAAAAAATTATAATAAAAACCGAAGCTCTGATACTATATAAGAGAAATATTTATCCTGTATTCTAATTAATAATAATACATGAATATATAGCCATATGTAGTCAACTATAATGAATAGCCAATATTCTAGGCAATAACAAAACATAAAATTAGGGATGTGGTTTGAGAATAATGTCATGGGAGATATTATTTTAGATCATTCCATTATTCTATGCTCGATCTTTATGGAGAAAGGTATGTCTCCACCTTAAATTCGGGAATGTTTCGCACCTTTGCCTCAAATCTATGACATTTCATATCGGTAATATAATTGATATGCTGCAAAACCAGATTCCGATTAAACTCCGATATAGATCGAACCAGAAAATAAAAATGAGAAAGAATGATTCTACTCAAGATTTAACAAGTTCCCGTCTCCGTTGTAGAGTATGGTACGTCTCGACCAGATCGTATCCGATGAACCCACTACAAGCTTTTGAGAGAGAGAATTACAAATTCGATCTGAGCTACAATGGCGAAGAAATTGAATCGTGAAGATACAAAGATGAACACGAGGTTGCCTCTGTTTTACAACAACCCAGAAACCCGAATTTTACGAGTTTGCCCCTGAGCTCATTTAACTAACTTCCGTTAACCACAAATGACCCATTTGCCCACGCTAAACTTTCTGATCGAGACAGAAGCTCTTTATGCCTTTGCTGAGTTCTCGCATTCTGATTCCCGAGGCACAGTAGAGAAATTTGAATTTATATCCCCTTTTGCATTGTATACAAGATTTTTATTATAATTATGTAGATTTTCTATATGTAACTGTCTAGATATTTTTTATAAAAGTTTCTAGAAATTGGATCATAAACAAATTTTGGGTTTGGTCCAATTTATTTTGGGTCAATGATCCAAAATTATATATATATTATACATATAATTAAACAATTAAAGCATAGACGAAACATAAAACTTTATTATATATAATGAAACAAGAAAAAACGATACAATACAATACAAGAAAAGAAATTCATCGCCGTCTCTCTCGGACAAATCTCCCATATGCAGATGAAGCAATCTTAATCCAAACACAAATCATCAATATGCGAAAGGGTTCACTCAAACAAACTGGTCAAGATCCTCGTCGACGCTTGTGTACTTGACGTCTGGATAAAGCTCCGAAGCCTCCAATCCGATCGAAGGGTCGATGGTGAACCAAGTGAGATCTCCCTTGATGAACAACGCATGGTTCAAGGCGAAGAAGTAATTGAGGGGAGCCGGGGACTCTGCAGTCGCAGCAAGTAATACACAAGATTAATATGTGTAATTAATGTGTGTGTGTATATATATACTTGAGTGTGTGTATATATTGCAGTATATATGATGAACTTGCCTTCAATGCTCTTGAGGAGTTCTTCCTCGGAAATGTAAGTCTTTTCGAGAGTTTTCCCAATCTTTTTCTCCCACAAGGCGACGATTTCGTTCGTGGAGAGAATGTTCTTCGGAGGGTTGACGTAGAGAATCTTGTTCAGAGTAGTCGGGTCATCGACCGTTTTCATGGTGTATGCGGCCACGTCTTCCTCCTTGTTCATAATGGCTGCAGGAAAAGGATGGCGACTCAATCAATATCCAAACCCTAATTAACCCTAGAGACGTGAAAATGTATCTGACAAATCGGACCTTTAACGTTTCCATCAGCATAGATGCCGACTTTGTCCCTCGGAGGGCTCCAAATCCCGAGGTGGCATTGGAATAGCGAAGGCGTGAAATAACCGGCGAAGCAGTTGCTGTTCACGTACGTGTATGGTACTCCCGCGGCCTCCACGGCCCGACGGATCTGAGCTTTGTGATTGAACTCCTCTCTCGCGGGGCCGATGGACCGTGAACGATCAACATCGTTCCCAAACTCTGAAGGTAAGAATCTCTGCAGTGACAATGAACAAAACCAACTTAGTTTTACTCTTGTTGATAATCAGGATTCATGTATGAATGGAGAAGCTGACCTTAACATTTCCAGCTTCCTTGATTGCTGCAATGATCTTAGTTTGGTCTAAGATTTGTGAGTTTCCAACTGTCGATATCACCACATCCACTTGCTTTATCGCTTTCACTAAGCTCTCGTGATCATTGATGTCTCCCTGCACCAAATCAACCATCAGTCAAACAGCTCAAATTAATCATGGATTTAATCTCAAATCCTTAGACAAATCAAATCGGAGGAGAGAGAGAGAGACTCACGTAGAGTATGTTGACGCCGAGATCCTTGAAACCTTGGACGAGTTTGGCCTTGTCGGGATTCGACACAGTGGACTCTCTCAGCAGCGCAAACGTGGGGTGCCCCGATTTCGCACTTCCCTGGACCATGAATTTACCGAAATACCCTGTCCCTCCGATCACCAGAATCTTGCTCTTCTCCGCCATTTTCGAAGATTTTCAAAGAGTTCTTCACCGCAAAATGTGTGAGAGTTTATGAGAATGTTTGCTTTGAGTTACGTTTTCGTGGTTTGTCCATTGAAGGCGTGGAGGAATATATAGGCGGAAAGTGGGGTTAGTAAATGACATAAATACCCTTGGCCGGTGGTCTCATTTGGCCACTTTCTTAGCCATCTTTTATGATTTTTCATGTGAATGCGTCAAAAGTGTGTGCATTATTTTGATTGATAGTATAAACAATTTGCACAAGTGGTTTATTGGAATGAATATAAATTTTAAAATTATATATTTCTAATTATCTAAACTTTGTTTTGCCGAAGCAGCTAGAAGTTTTCTTCTAGAATGGCAGACCGAGAGAAATTATTAAGGGGAATAATTAGAATACATATAAAATACATAAAAACTTAGAAAAATATATGATCCAAAAATATTTATATTCTACAACTAAATTTTATGATTTTTTAATTTTTTAAAATCTATTTATAACAATTTTATTTGTAATTATCTAAAATATATTTTTTTAATAAGATTCATTGAATATATCTAGATAAAATCCAATCAATTTTACCAAAATTGATACGTTAAATTCATAAAATGAGTTAACATGATTCAATCTTGCCATACAAATGATTAATTCTGAATTCATCTGGTCAAATCGAGCATTAAATTTTTGAATCTACAAATCTATAATAATATACAAATCAATCATTTATCTTGTATTCTAACCAATCACCTTATTGGTTAAACAAGACTTGATTAAATCATATCAATTTATTTTCTATATTTTTTAGAAAATCATGACCATGTGATAAGATCCTCTAATCAAATATATATCTCTTATTTTATCGTTCTGGTTGAGATGATCTAATATATTTTTATCATATCAAAATGATGTAAAGTACATCCAAATCGATTTGCTAAGATATTGAAAGACTAATATGAAAATTTGATACATTGTCGGTTGGAATTTTACCGTTAATTTCAGATATCAATATAAAATTTCTTTCGAAAAAATTTATCTTTTGATTTTTTTGTCGAATTAAACAAAAAATTAAATAAATATATACAATAACAAATTTATGAATGTAATCGAAATATAGAAAGCAAATGGACAAAAAAAATAATTTCTTAAAATAAAATTATAATATTTATATACTTTTAATTCCATTAAAAAAATTTCTATTTTTAAAAGATTTATATGTGTATGCGAAAAAGAATAAAAAATGAAGAAATAATATTAATTTAATTTTTTTTATCAATTTTGCAATGAAATAAAAATAATAAATTGATTAAGTAGGGGCATGGACCCATCCAACAACATATACATATATATATATGTATGGAAGATTTTATTATTCTTAGATAACATATTGGAAAACAACTGGAATATAAAATTTATACCGGCCAAAACCAATGATTAACAATCCTAAATATATGCCAACTCATATACTATTATCAATTTCATTCACAAATTAAAATTATTGTCTTTTCATACTCGATCAATTAGTTTGGTTAATGAAAACTTGAAATTAAAATAAATTTAGAAACGAATATTTGTTACATAAAAACTCATGTTTAGATCATCTTCAAAGGTTCGCTTAGGGTCTATACCCAATAATTTAAATTTATTTTGAGAAAACATTATTTATTCTAAACAAATGATAAAGTTTTTATGGAATATAATTTCATCCATTGTCCCGGCGGCTTTACTGTTTATTATATCATTTAAATAATTCCTCAAATAAATAATAAAAACTCAGAGAAATAGTACGAGAAAGTAATAGAATAATTTGAACGAAGGGTCCAGGCAAAAGCTCCACGGTCAATACTGCCGACGATTTATGCTTTTTTTATATAGTAAAATATAATATAATCAATAAATAAACAAAAATAAATATATTGAATCAGGGAAAAAAACATATATATTAATCTTAAATAAAATCGTTAAGAAACGAATATTACTAGATTCCTGTTAAGGCATGGGTACGACGTTCTTACATAATAAGTCGATATTCAGGGAAATTCTGATTTAGTACCTGGATTATTTTCCTTTTACTTTAATTTCTCGATTGTATTGGACACGAGATTTTAATTCTAAACTTTATTTGAACTGTATTTTAGCATCCAAAACTAATGATTTTTTTTTCAAAATAAATTACAAAACTATAAAAGTATTACCTCGTTATTCTATATTATATGTGTATATATAAATTAGGAAAAAATATCTGAAAATTCTTTAACTTGTAATTTGGTGTAATATTAATTTCTGAATTTGTAGATGTATCTATTTATTCTCGAACTTACATTTTTTAATACAGTAATTCCTGAATTTGCTTAATAGTTTCATAATCGTCCATACTACTTATTGAGTTTAAGAATTATTGTGTTGAAAAATGCAAATTTAGGATAATATATCTTCAACCTTATAACTTGTATGAATCTTAGAGATCCAGATATGATTTCAAGACGTGTGATTACTTTTCTAAAAAATGAATAAATGAGATTATATGAATATATTTTGAGATACAATACAATTTCAATGATTTAAGTTTATCCTATCGATAATCATAATACAAAAACTTGTTGTGAAAAAATAACATAAACCTTTACAACAATTTTCCAAATATATTTAGATGTTTTTTGTTGATAAAAACCAAGAGACATCTTGTAAAACATGGTATATTTTATAACTTTGTATTAAATATAACTCGTACTCTGTCAGTTATCTAAAACATGAATTTATGCGATTTTTCGAAGAAAACTTCCATGTTTTATAACCTTTTATCGATATGTCTTTTTTTTTAAACAATAAACATATGAATATGTTGGAGATTCATTTTGTGAAAGATTTTTTGACGAAAGTCATATTTAGATTCTTTACTATTCATACGAGTTATAAGGTTAAAAATACGTATGTTTTGTTATTTTTTTGTTATTTCCTCTAACATATTTTTGTATGTCTTCAAATTTTTTCTTTTAAAATGGATCCATATATTAACGCATGGCTCATATAATATACCTATCTTTTCTATAACTATATTTTCTATATTTTTACGAACTCAAAAGAGAAAATAAATAAGTCAGAATAAATGGAGAGAAGGATCAGGCATAAATAGAGAGAAGGAGCAGGCACAACGATGTTAAAATTCATTCATAGAGTCTTTCAGGATCTGGTGCAGTGGTTAAAAAATCCATGATTCTCTAAAAACTTACATGTTCCACGTGGTTTGTAGACTATTAGGTAGAGACCGAGACCGCGTTCAAAGGGTTGTGATTGGGTTTCTGCCGTTATCAAAAAAAAAAATCATTATACTCCGGTAGAACAAGAGATTTGTCCGAAACCGAAAACCACAACCCCACAAATTACATCTCTAAAACATGCATGAAGCAAAAGCAATCCTTATTACAAACGACCATTGCCGCTTTGTTCACAGTAACAATACACACTCATATGAGAATTCTCAGACAAACTGATCCAAATGTTCATCCACGCTCGTGTATTTGACGTCGGGATAAAGCTCAGAAGCCTCCACTCCTGTTGAAGGGTCGACGCCTAACCAAGTGAGGTCGCCCTTGATGAACAATGCATGGTTCAAAGAGAAGAGATAACTGAGAAGACCTGGGGACTCTGCAATTGCATTGCATGCAACCAATGAAAAAAAACATATTACGAATTCGATATGTGAAAAAGTAATGTATCATAATACCCTTTGGCCTCTTTTGCAAAATGATCCGCTTACCTTCAATGCTCTTGAGGAGTTCTTCCTCCAAAATGTATGTTTTTTCGAGAGATTTTCCGATCTTTTTCTCCCAAAGGGCCACAATTTCGTTCGTGGAGAGGATGTTCTTGGGGGGGTTGACGAAGAGCTTCTTGTTTAGAGTTCTCGGGTCATCAACAGCTTTCATGGTGTATGCAGCAATGTCTTCTTCCTTATTGATAATAACTGCAAGACAAGAGAAAGATGTCAACTCAATCATACTTGCAATTAAATAAATATACCAAGTTATGTGATGATTGTATACCTTTGACACTGCCATCCCCATAGATGCTGACTTTGTCTGTAGGAGGGGTTTTAAGTCTCAAGTGGCATTGGCACAAAGAAGCTGTGAAATAACCAGCGAAGCAATTGCTGTGTACATACGTATAGGGTATCCCTTCGGCCTCTATGGCACGACGAATCTGAGCCTTCATATCAAATTCCTTTCTCACATGCCCGATCGCCCTTGAGCGATCAACATCATTCCCAAACTCAGAAGGTAAGAATCTCTGCAATCCCATGAACACAAGGAAACGTAACTCAAACCTTGCTCGGTCTCATCACTTATTCGAGCTCTTGAATTCGCTTGTATAACTAGATTATTATAGGTACAATGAGTCGAAACTACAATAAACATGATGAAAATGGAAAACCGGGTGGTTATCAAAGAGGGTATATAACAGGAAAATGGAAAATCAAATAAAGAACACACCTTAACATTGCCAGCTTCCTTGATTGCAGAAATGATCTTGGTCTGATCCAAGACTAGTGAGTTACCAACCGTCGATATCACCACATCGACCTGTTTTATCGCCTTCACTAAGCTCACATTGTCATTTAGATCGCCCTGCAACCCGTAGACAGTCACACCACTTCACCTTAGAATTCTCATAGATAACTGAAACGGTAGGCATGTTCATATGAAACAAAACCAAGGTCCGAACTAACAATCACACGATTTCAGCAGCTCTACTGATTGGTTTATTGGGAGAAAACTAGAATCCTTTACTATCCCATGATTCAGCCTGTTCAGTTTATATTCATACACTTGTTTTCCAACAATAGATTTATCAGATCATAAGGGCTACAGCGACAGAAAACAGAGACTGAAATCATGAATAGGGTTCTTAACTTCGAATCCAAACAAAATTAAAATCATCCATTAACGTTAGTATCAACGATTCCAACGACAAAAGCAAAATCTCATGCGAAATATGAGATTAAACACTTGCTTAAACCATAAATTCATATTTGGGTAAAAAAGCGGAAACGTTTTCCAATGTGTTTGCCCTTGATCTTCAGGTCAAATCAACGCATAGATGCAACAGAAACACCAAGGAATAGAAGAGAGAGACTCACGTAGAGAATGTTGACGCCTAGATCTTTGAATCCTTGAACGAGTTTGGCCTTGTCGGGATTGGAAACAGATGACTCTCTGAGCAGAGCAAACGTAGGGTGACCTGATTTCGCGCTTCCTTCGACCATGAATTTTCCGATATACCCAGTTCCTCCGATCACCAGAATCCTGCTTATCGCCGCCATTGTTTCGCCGGAGATCGAGGTTGTGTTGCCGTTTGTTTGTCTTTGGGGCATTAGTAAAGTCCGAACTGCAAGAAATTTACGTAAATACCCTCAACTCGAAGGTTGAATTCAAAGAAGGAAATTTAGATGACGCGTAGAAAAGTATTTCATTTTGGAAAAATAATATATTAACCAATTTCTAAAAAGTTCCAAATAAATATATAAATTTCAAATTTTTTAAAAAAATATATAAACTTTTTAATTTATATATAAATTACAACTCAATTTCCAAAAATTATCATATCATGGTGGTATTTGAGAGTCATTTAAAAATTTAAAGTTTAATTTTATAATGGATGGAGTGACGAAAGGTTGATGGGCCCACAAAACGAAATATAATTTCGCTTATTATGATTGTGATTGAATATTCTGTATAATTCCGATAAAGTAATATCCGATCTAATTTTCCGATGGAGTAGACTTTACTGCAAATTATATATGTATTGAAAATTGTCTGATTAACGGTCCAAAATTTTTAAAGGATAGCTTTTTAATCTTGATTGGTCATATTCTTCTAGGACGGCCCAATTTCAACGGTCAAACTTGACGATGTATATATAAATCATATATCACAAATTTTTAAAATTTTCATTGGTTCATTAATTCTACATATATCTATAATAATAATAAATTAATATTAATGACTTTAGAACCAAATATTAAAAACGTTATTAAATCACAAATTTTATGATGCATTGATCAATAATTAAAGACGGTATTAATAAATATTTTGCTTTTACCTTCTAAAAATCATCATGGGAAGTGATTTAATGACTTAAAAGACACGTACTCAATTGACAAATTAAAGATAATGACTCGTAGCCATAAAATTTTAGTACATGTGATAAACAAAGATTTATTTATAATTAAAAGTAATACATAGACTTTTTTATTATACACACACACGTAATTTTATTATGTATATACACGAATCTGAATGATAAAGTTATTAATTTAATACCATTAATTTGGGGTTTCAATGAATATGTGTATGGTCAAGTGGCTGGTGAAATCCTGAGACTGATATTATCCTCATTCTTTTTGGATCACCCCCAAAACCAGCTTAGACTACTATTAATATATTTAAAACAGAAATTTCATTAGACATATCATATATCATTGGAAAGATAATTTCAAAAGATTCGCATCGATACAAAGATTGTACGATTCCAATATACGAGTCAAAAGTTATCGTAGTTTTAAATGACATGTATCAAGTAGATATATCTGTTTGTGTCACCTATAATCCATTCGGTTTTTAATAAAATTGGAATTTGGTTCGATAAATTGGATTGGGAGCTCGGTTTGGTTCACCCATAGGATAGGATTTTGGTTAGGTTCAACCGTTCAAGCATATTACTAAGCCAAGATGTTGTTGGTTTAGGAAAAGGCTCTTGAGCTTCCTCCAAGGAGTAACCCCATACTATGAACCATAACTTCCACTCTCTCTCCATCACCAGGTTGTCCATCTCTTCTTCCTCCATTGATTCAAGTTTCCATCTTTGGCATTTTGAAGAGTAATCAGTGCGGTTTGGAGGTTCGGTGCATATGCGCGATTCGGTTTCATAAAGATCAATAGATTCGGTTCAATTCCCTTGTTATTTTCTTTTGAATCCTTCTAGGTTATTATTTGATAAATGTGTCGGTATATCGGGTTTTTTAATGTGTTAATAGCATTCACTGCTTTGGAAAGTTATGTGCGTGTATAGATCTGTTTTTCTGCAATCGTAATCGTGTATGTTATAATCAATAAGAGGAAGCTTAAATGTCACTAGTTACATAATGAGGTATTTATACAAGTAACCTAATAATACACATGGAAAAATACATATTTATCCCTCTATATATGTAAGCATATGCATATGTGTTATGAGTAAATGTGAGAATGAATATTTATGGTGTTATCTTTGTTGTGAGATTTTTTATTTGAGAAATTTATCGAGAACTGTCCTTCAGAACCAGGTGTAATGGCAAAAGAATCTATGATCCTCCGAGAGGTCATGGTTTCGATTTCACCTTCCAGCGATTATCTGTTTCAAGTTGTTTGCTGGCTATTACGTAGAGTCAGATGTTTATCACCGCATCCGAAAGGCTGTGGTTGAATTCCCACCCTTAGAAAAAAAAAAAGAAGTTATCAAGAACCCTTCACGGTTGGTAAATAGACAAGAACGCCACTTCGCACTTGTCTGTGAAGACAGACGTCCATTGCAGCTTCTCTGCAACGATCAATCGTAAAAATTGTATGCGTACTGCCGAAGAAAGGATGAAAAAACGGTGTCCGGCCTCTGTAATAGAGAAGACCGTAGCATTCAGAAACACATGAGCTTGTTACTTGTGTTCCAAGGAAACACTGGAATTGTTTGCTGTGGAATTATATCCACTGTTGATCAAGAAAGGATGCATCTTTTTTTCTGAAAGAAGTTTGGTTTCTTGTCAAAAGCGACAGAGAATACTTGTATATTGAGTGTTTTTCTTGTCTCGGTATAATTATTATACGTAGATCACTCATCCTATACGTGAGATCATATTGTATGGACAGTAAATAACAGGGGAGCTACGTGAGCATGTATTTATTTGTGAAATTTAAAAAGTTATTGTTTTCTTTTTGCGATATTCTGTAATAATAAACTAGACCAAAAAAATGGATATCGTAATAATATTTAATAAAAAAAAATGTAGGAATAGATATTCCGAAACCCAATAAACACTTGAAAAGCTAAACTACAAAATTCAAATGTAAACCCAACGAATTAACAAAAAAAAATATATGTAAACCGAGCGACATAAAATAATGAAAAAGTCTGAGAGGAAGAACTTTGTGGTGAAGTGGAGACAAAGAAACGAACCTCGCCCCCCTGTCTTGTAATATGCCTCGCCTCTCCTCTCAACCCATTTCCAGTACACTCCATCTCTCTCTCTCTCTCTCTCTCTCTCTCTATGGAGGCCGGAGGAAAGGGGAAGAGGGCGGAGATAGACACGAGGGCGCCGTTCAGGACAGTGAAAGAGGCAGTGGCTTTGTTCGGTGAGAGAGTTCTGGCAAGTGAAGTCTACACCAATCGACTCAAAGTGGTAAGCCGATTTCCATGCGACTGCTCAAACTTAGGCAATGCTTCCTTCCTTGCCACATTAGTGATCTCCTAATCCGATCGTTCAAGATCTTAGGATCAGTGATTGGTATGACACTTGAATCAATGATAAAGATTTGATTTCTTGAATCTTTATATATAAAGGGAGTATAGGAAAAAAAAAACTGAACTTATAAAATTTGACAAATAAATACATAAACTTGTTCATTTTTAAATAAATAAATTTTCAAAAAACAAATAAATACAAAAATAAACAAATTTTGAAATATTTTCCGTACAACCATACAAAAAAGAATCGTGGGTTTACATGAAAATTTTCAAAATTTGTTCATTTTTATATAAAATTAGAATTTCATGTATTTATTTGTCATATTTAAAATTTTCATTTTTTTTTATATTCCCTTATATATATATAAACTGTGAATCACCCATTACTGAACAGATCCACGGTGAGAAATGGGAAGAGCCTTCGAGGGCAGTGAACATTGAAACCGAGCTTGAAGAGACGAAACACAACCTCAAAAGGGCGCAGGAAGAAAGCATGCAGATGAAGAACTATCTGTCTTCTCTCAGGGAAGAACTCGAACGGACAAAACAAGAGCTCCAGCTTCTGAAACAGATTGATCATGACGACGATGTTGAATTCAAGAACCGAATCGAAGACAAGATCGAAACGAAATTCGAAGTCTACCATTGCGGGTCGGTGGAAGGAGGAGACTTTGAGAAGAAGAACAGGAAGAAGAGCGAGAAGAGATACGTGAAATTCGCAAACACGACGAGCATTGGAACTTCGGTGGCGGGAGTTGAGAGGTTGCTTGAAAGACAACATTCGATGAGGAGGAAGAAGAAGGAGAGTTTGATCCCTTTGATTGGAGGGCTGTTCTGTAAGAAGAAGAAGAAGGCTTGCAATGAAGCCGCTTGATTTCATTTTACAAAATAAATTCACATCTGTTATTACGAGTTTTCGCATTGTTTCTTTGAATGCCTTTTCTTTCTCTTTTTGTTCAAGTTAATAAAAAAATTATTTCAAAGTTATTATCTCTGGTTTGATTCTACATTGCTTATTTTAAAAAGAGAACAATCAAATTTTGTTTTTTGTATTTCGAGCAGCAACTAAACCGTCTTTTTTTATAATCCGGAAATTCACCAAATATTTGATCCAACTACATCTTCTAAAGAATCGGAGAAATTCGAAAGAATTTACCTCCTCACGTTTGAATTTGAACCCATGGTAAAAACATACTTTGCATATTCTTTTACCACTAGACCACCCAAATAGGATACAAAAATTATGGAATTCTAACATATCTCGTCAACCTCACGAGTTACACTAACTACAGTGCTAAACAAACATAATACAAAAAAAATTTCGTTCTAAAATTGTATTTCAATGAAAAAAAAAATTATATTTCCACTCAAAAATACCATAACATAAATAATTAAACTGTTTTAATCTAACAATAATAACAAAGATTTAATATGTTACAAAACCATATATGCTATATCATGGGATCGATGCATAATCTCCTTCCGATACGGTAAAACATCCAAATCGGAATAAACCCTCAACTTTACAAATTTTATCATCTAAATATAAAAGGGTTTATGCATATAATTCACCATTGTCAGAAAAAAAAGTTATGTGAATAAAAGATCGAGAACATTTATTTTATCTATAATTTAACTTTAATCATATAAACAGATTTTTAATACTCTTAATAAAAGGACACATGTCATGTTTTCGAAAGAGTAATTGTACTTTTATATATAAGATATGATTTGATACTATGCTTAAAATGTCTTAAGTTTCTATTGGATCGATTCATACTCATCAAATCCTGTTTTGTACACATATACAATTGCCTAAACGGTAAACCGGAGTTGGTTCAGTGAGGGTAATTTGGTAATCTAATAGATGAAAATAAATACATAAATACATAAACAAAACAAAAACCTTAAAAAAAAGGGGAAAAAAACAGAGGTGTCCCGCGTAGGTACAGATTCAAGGAGTGTCGGTTTCTCTCTCTCTCTCTCTCTCTCTCTTTCTCAATTTAGCTTCATCTCTCTGTTTGGTTCCATTTCTCCATCTTCTCCACACCGAATCTTCGGCTTACGGTTCGAAATCTGGGAAACCCTACGTCTGTACGCCGGCATTTCGCCATTTAGGTCGCTGAATGCACCTCCATTGAGCTCGGGATCTCTCTCCTTTTCTCTCTTCTCCGGAGGAAATGGGCGCGAAATCCAGGCGGAGAGGATTGTGCGGATGGTTCATTGCGTTGATCGTTTTGGCCGCCGTTGTCCTCGCCGTCGTCTACACGATCAGGAAGAAGACAGGTCACTCCGACGATGGCGGAGATGATCCCGTGCCGGGACCTCCTGGAGCTGTTGATAAGAAGTACGCTGATGCTCTCGAGATCGCATTGCAGTTCTTCGATATCCAGAAATGTAATGTGTTCCTGCTGCATCTTTTCTTTTTTCTTTTTTTTTTGGGGTAAATTTCCGTTGCGATTTTTGTTTCTTCGTTTGTGAAACCTCGTGATGTGGGTTCGTAATCTCACCATTACTGATGCATTTCCCAGAATCTCTCCATGATTTAATTTCCTGTCTTCTCCCCTTTGACAGATTGATTTTTAGGGAGTTTCGAATTTTGCGTCAGTGTTTGAAGATCATAATCACAATTCACAAGTATCATATTGGATGAATTTCTGATTGATTTGTCATTTTTAATGTCTGGAGTATAACAACGTTAGGATGGATTCATGAACCGTTACACTGTTTGGCATAAATGTTCAAACTTTTGCCTGATTTGGTATTGTTTCTGTTCATCACTTGCACTTTGTCTGGTGTGAAGATGTTTTGATGATCATTTTTCCCATGTCGTCGGCTGCAGCTGGCAAACTGGGCAACAATAAGATATCTTGGAGAGGGGATTCGGGTCTGAAGGACGGCAAGGAAGCGAATCTGGACCTTTCTAAGGGACTATATGATGCCGGTGATCATATGAAGTTTGGTTTTCCAATGGCTTTCACTGCTACAGTCCTTTCATGGTCGATTCTCGAGTATGGTGATCAAATGGATGAGGTTAACCAATTGGAACCGGCTAAAGACTCGCTCAAGTGGATCACCGACTTCCTCATCAATGCTCACCCTTCCGAAAACGTGCTATATATCCAGGTCTCTTGTTTCTACTTTTGCAAGCTATAACTCAAATCATTACACCATGTGAATATGTAGTTTGATTGCGTGAGGGTTCTGTTGGTTGTTTGCGAGACATTGATTACCGAATCTTTCAAACTTTCTTGACGAGTTGGCTTTTCATTCACTTAATAAAAGTATTGTTTTACCAAATCTTTCATAAATTTTATACCGTTTGCGCTGTTAGCTGTCAACTCTAGATTATTAGAAAGTGAATCATATGATCTTTGATATTGATTCTTTGATTCGGAATTGTTTCTGATTAAGCAGGTGGGTGATCCGAGTATAGATCACAAATGCTGGGACCGGCCAGAGACAATGTCAGGGAAGAGACCACTCACTAAGATCGATACCGAGACTCCAGGGACCGAAGTTGCTGCAGAAACTGCAGCAGCCATGGCTTCTGCATCTTTAGTCTTCAAGGACAGTGACCCACAATACTCGAGCACGCTTCTCAAGCATGCGAAGCAGTTGTTCAATTTCGCAGACAAATACCAAAGTTCTTACAGTGTCAACATCCCCGAGGTTCAGCCATTTTACAACTCAACGGGTTACGGTGACGAACTCCTGTGGGCAGCTAGCTGGTTGTACCATGCAACTGAGGACAAATCTTACCTTGAGTATGTGTCTGAAAAGGGAAGTGACTTTGGTAATTTTGGAAACCCGACATGGTTCAGTTGGGACAACAAGCTTGCAGGAACACAGGTTAGATAATAGACCCAAATCCGAAAAACTAGTTTCGCTTAAACTGATCAGCTACTTAGGTAACGTCTCTATGACATTGTTGCAGGTATTATTGTCGAGGTTAACCTTCTTCAAGAAGGGGTTATCAGGAAGCAATGATCTTAAAGGTTACAAGGAAACAGCTGAGGCTGTCATGTGTGGGCTTCTACCCAACTCACCGACAGCTACAGCAAGTAGAACTGATGGTAAATTTCCTCGTTCGATCCTCGATGAACTTTAGTCATTATTCAGTTTCGATAAAGATGGGAAAATTATGTGTTTCTTGTTCATTGATCTTTTTACCTTTGTTATGGTAGATGGCCTCATATGGGTCAGTGAATGGAACGCGCTGCAACACCCTGTGTCCTCGGCGTTTTTAGCTGCTCTTTACAGCGATTACATGCTCACTTCCCGGAACGTGAAATTATCTTGCAGCGGGAAAACCTTCAGAGCATCTGATTTGAGAAAATTCGCCAAATCTCAGGTACCTCATCTCCTTAGGGCCTGAAAACGCGGCATTCGCTGTTATAAGTTCTAATCCATGTTTATATAGATCCAAAAATAATAACCGACACAATAACAATTACACACGAAAACATAAGTGCTAATCCATAAAAAAAACTGTAATAAAACTGCACACTAACCTCAGAACTAACTTCAGAAACAGACATAAGTAACTGCAGCACCAACATCAAAAAGCTTGGGCTTCATGTTCCAAACTTGAACCATACCATCAATAAAAAAGACTTGAACCAAAGAACCAACAAAAACGCCTATAATCGTTGTCGCAAACGAAACGATACAACTAGACGAACCCTTAAATACAACTCTAGACTGAAAATAAACAATTTATCCTCACCGGTCTATTTTTTCGTATTCTTCACAGGCTGAATACATGTTGGGGAAGAATCCGATGGAAATGAGCTTCCTCGTGGGTTACGGGGATAAATACCCGCAATACGTTCACCACAGGGGAGCGTCGATCCCGGCAGACGCAACCACTGGATGCAAAGATGGATTCAAATGGCTTAACTCGGAGGATCCAAACCCGAACGTAGCCTACGGGGCATTGGTAGGCGGACCGTTCCTCAACGAGACGTTCATAGACTCTCGCAACAACTCTATGCAGAACGAACCGAGCACTTATAACAGTGCCCTTGTGGTCGGTCTCTTGTCAAGTTTGGTCACTACATCTTCTGCGTTGGAGTCCTTCAAGTGAAGAAACCCTTTAGGATCATATCACTACTGCTTTTTCTTTGTGTGTGTGATTTATGTATCTATCAATGTATGATACGTGTTATATTTTGTACGACTGAATCACATATAAACACATGCCCTGAGTTAGATGGAACTGCTCGTTGTATGCGTACGCATCATGCTTCTCTCTCTCTCTCTCTCTCTCTCTCTCTCTCTCTCTCTCTCTCACTCACACACACACACACACAATTAGCTAATAAAAAGGATATTAGAGTATAACGCAAGCAATCTCGAATTCAAATAATTCTTTACCAAATTCAATCTCCTAGTTTACAAATTATGGGGGTTCTCTAATGGTACAACAAAATAAAGGGGGAGAACCAATAAGACCCTGCAACCAAACCACAAAAAAACTACATATTATTAGACAGCAAACCAACAGCGAAACCCGAGTTTTTAAAGAGCAAGAGGAGGTAAAAAGAACGAGAAGCATACCGAGGGCGGGGAATCACGCCAGGTTAATATCTGTTTCTTTGCCGCAATGCGGAAAACGAGTTCCCACCTTGATATCCTCCTCCTCTTCTGTGATGATGATCACCATACCCTCGAGAATTATCATCCCTTCCTTGCTGACGATCGTAATCATATCCTTGGGAGTTGTCATGCGCACCTTGCCCATGATGATGATGATGACGTTGATCATAGCCTCTCGAATTATCAGCATAACCTCTTGAATCATGGTGTCCACCCCGAGAGGTACTATGGTGAGGCTGTGACGGGAAACTCTGGCCAAATTGCTGCCCACTGCTACCTCTGTATTGTCGGGAGCCCTGATAGCCACCACCATGACGGGAGGAATATTCGTATTCATCAACACCAGGCGGTCCATGTGTTGGTAAATTCGGGTAAGGAGGCTGAGGTTGAGCATAACCCGGGTGAGCATACGGAGCCTGCATCATCCGTGGATCCATATGGGCAGGTGGACCATACCCTGTTGCTGGCTGGTGAAGGGTATAACCGTAATTCTGGTAGGGAGGAGGGGTCGGTACATATGGAGGAGGAATGTAATTGTAATCCAGAGGCTGGGAATGCATATCTGTCATACGATGCCCGTTGCGATCTCCTCTCAGCTGCAAGCTGTTAGAGACGAGTCGATGAGCCGCCTCTCCGAGATGGCGACCGGATAAACTTCCAGGATGGTGCTTTCTGAAAACAGGAGAAGTTTTAAGCAGTCAGATGAATCTTTATTTGACAAAGGAATGAAAATCTTCTTCACTATGACAGATGTTCAGCCTACCGGTCTTGATTCATCGGCCTTCTTCCAGAATCCTCATGCCATAGAACTGGTTCGGGTTTCAAATCTCCTAGTTGGACACTCTGGACAGTGAGAAATTAGCTTAGATTTAGTGACAAAAGCCTTGGACTCATTCATATATTATGGCTAAAAGCAACTTTATTTAAGAAACTTCGTAAAATGTGCAAAAGGTCTCTCAAAGAGAAAGCTTGTGAGAAATAAAGAGCTAAACCAGACCATATAGTACCTTCTTTGGGAATATGACACCAGGAGGTGGCCTTGTTATGTGTTTGTGCGCATCTGGGAGCCTGTATATTGCACATCTGAGAAACGGAAAAAAAATGTAAGTGGTCTTAAATATGGTTGAAAATATTAAAATCTAGTTCCAGAATCTCACATGACTTCATTGGCCAAAATGTCTTCCATGCCCTGAATCGGGGACCTAAATATTGGCGGGTGTGTCTCCCCTGAACAAAGAGTCAAGTAGCCGTTCATACAATCACTGCAAACAATCCCAAAGAAATCAGGAAACATTCAAGAAGATCTTAAATACAATATTTATTGCTAAAAAACAATTCAAATTGACCAGCTTGTTTCATCCTCATCATCCCCAAATTCTTGAGAGATAAGAGTTAGGTTCCCTTCTCATATGCATAAAAATCTTTTTACATGCCAATGCAAACCTGAGCTCGGGTCTAATCTTGACCTTGACGTCCACTTTCTCCTTGGCAGTCAATTGTCCACATTGGCTGTCGAGGGAAAAGACGAGTTCAGCCAACTGATGAGACGTTGCTATGAAAAGCAAGTCAAACATCACACAGTTTCTGCGTTTTTCTTCCTCCTGCCGATACAATCAGATTAAATAAGAAAGAACATTTTAACCCGTTTGTACTTTAAAAAAAAGCACATCTCTTTACAAGGAACAAGCAAGAGATAAAAGCCAGAAGTTATAACAACATACAGTCAATGTGTCTTCCATTTCGGCAACAGCAGCTAGAAGACGATTTTCATCGATGAAAGGCAGTTTCGCAATACCCTTCAGAGTTAAAAAGAAAAACCAATATATCACAAATTTCCTATAAAATATATTGATTCTGTACCCATTTGAGAGAGAGAGAGAGACCTGCCAAGCATATCGCTTTCCATTCATGTCAACTTCAAAATCTAAAAAACACAAGAAAATGAGTGGAAAACTTATTCGATACGGCAAATAACATGAAGCCATACATGAAATCCTTATTGAAGACAGAAGCAATACCAGTCGGGTAAAAATCAATGATAGGTGAATGGGGATCTGTCATCAAGGTCCTATAGAGCTCTGGAAGTGCATGTGAACTGACAAAAATGAAATAATTGTTGCAGTTACGCTACTGTATAACAGAAGAAACAAACAAGACAGTTGCGCAAGTTCTCTACCTTGCAGCTGGGAATACACCTAAAAGTTGATTGAAAGGTTTAAAAGGAGTCCCTAGTTCGAACTTAATATCCAGCTCCCCGAGATCCTTCAGATCAGAAGCAAATGGCGCATAATGATAAGGGTAAAACCTGCAGCATTAAAGCACCATTGTATCACAGTTGACACTCAAAAGTTGAAGATAAAATGGAAAAGGTAACATTAAAATTTACAAATGACACAGACTAAAGCAAAGGAAAAGGTATAGAACCTAAATCATATCGAACGAAAATAAATAAGAAGTTTGCGGAGCATTCTTGAAACCCAATTAAGTATAGAAGCATTCAAAGAGAAAACTCGTCCAATATGATCAACACATGTCAATGCAACCACATATGCGGGGCGTAATATTCTGATCTATCCCCAAAGAAGCAAATACTCTTAGGTAGGCAGACTTCGTGACACTCTGGGATCAAGATTGTCGATATCATAAGAAAGCAGATCACAAAAAGGATCAGCTGGGAGGTCTACCCAGGAAATAAAAAGCAGGAACTTACCATTGCCAGGAGCAAACACCTTCATAGTAGTAATGCATGACCCAACAAAGGCCTTCTGTGTACTTCAAAACCTATTCGGAAGAATGTCACACATTAGAAAAGCCTCTCTGATAACAGACACTCTCAAACATCAAATCAGGTGCTAGGTTTTAAAACTCACAACATCTCTCCGTATTCTTTCCATTTCTTCAGGTCTCTTTGCTGAGAACTTCTCTTCATAATATCTTTCTCTCCATCCGGGTTCCCCTAGCTTCACCTGAATACATAACAAACACTTTTAGAAAAATGAAAGGAGGACCAAAATCACGAAGGTAAATGGCACGTGACCAAAAAAAAAAGATGTGCAGTCCCGTAACTCCATAAAAATTATTCAAATAGCATGAGAACATCTTTACAACTTAGCTAGCAACATTTATTGTCATTTGGAACCTATTAAGGAAAATTCATCATAATTCATAAGCAAACCGAAACCTTGTCCTGTTCACGAGTGTCTGAGTTGAACGCATCAGATTTCTCCCGCATCAAATCCTTAAGCTTTGTCTTTAGTGCTTCTTTGTTCTCGCTTTCCTGGACCATGCAGAAGAATTAAAATCATTGCTCATGTAAACTCAGTAAGCATCTAGAAACAAAACGACAAATGTGAATTGCCACAGTGGCAACAAAGGCTCACACCACAAGAAAACGTAGCCTAAGGGCTTCAACTCTAAATGATATAGCTTAAGGAGTCAAAATTGTACTAAAGTGCATCTCATCAAGCAGAAAAAACATACATCAGATTCAAGACTGTTCTCCACATCAACAATGGCTGCACCAATACTGGACCCTGAAGATAAACACTGAAATTTCTGGAAGGGAGGAGAGATTCCATTATTTGACTGAAACGGCGAAGGAGTAGGAGCAGAAGCAAGTCGAGAGCCATGAAACCTAGCCACTGGAACAATAGTATCTGGTTGAACTGTTGGTGCTGCATCATCCAATCTTTTTGCTTGAGCCTTTTCTCGCTTTATTCTTTCTGCTTGCCTCTGATACATATGATGACAAAAGGGACCATAAAAAGAAAAACAGTGAGTTATCAGAACGGACAAAGACAAGGAGTGTGTAACTGCGTGAGTAATTTATTAAAATCAAGCAAGGGGCAGTAAACACAATACAAGACCGCAAAATATCAACTTTACTAGACCACAAAAACATCAACCACCTCTGCCAACTCTATTACTACAAAAATCTGGAAATGAATTAAATGGGGTGCAGTCAAGTGAACGAAAAGAAAGCAAGCTATCTCAGCCACATAAAATGTAAATCAGTTGTCGGAACCTCTCATTATGCCGCTCTACAAAATAAACATACCTGATGCAACCTGCTTCTTTTCTGAAATATCTTATCTTCAAAGGATCCGACAGCCTGAATAAAATGCTCTACCCTCTTCAAATTCGGCTGAAAATGACAAAAGCAAAAAGAAAGTCAAAATCACATCACGAAAATGTCAAACTGAAGAGAGAAATTATAAAACTCGAATAAGTCTAACATAAATCAATAGAGTGAAAGAAAGGCATACACCTTGCATCCATCTGTCAAATAACCTCCTAACAACCTAAATTCCTTCTTGTATACAGCCATCAGCAAGTTGAGCGCACCCTGGAGAGATGAAGACATCAATGACAATATTCTATCCAATATTAAGAAAAGGATAGACTTGCCATACGCCTCAGGTATGAAAAATGATTCCGTTTATAAAGCATAATAAGCTTCCGTTGCTAACGGACCGATTAGAGGTTATCAGCTGGATAGAGATCATTACAGATTCAGCACAAACCTCACGAATCTCCAAAGTCGGCATGTGTGGTAAAAAATCATTGCCCACAAAGAAACATATGAAGATAAAGTCATCCACGATACGCTCCAGATCAAGCTCAAATGGAGGGTTAGGAATCCTCATCTCATGTTCCAAGTACTCTCTAAGCGTCCAAACATGAAGAAACTGGAAAAGAGATAAACCAAACATGAAAAATGATGGCATTACATCACATCATAACCGTACATCTCCACAACCGAGAGATATACTAAAGATTTCGGTCATGAAAGCCCACCTGATATGGTTTTTTTACCACACCATTTGCATCACCTTTCTCGTCAAATTCTCCTGCTTTCCTCTTTGCTTTTCCTTCACAATCTGCAGCTAAATGACCCATCTGACCACATAAGAAACATTTGTTTTGCTGTCCAGGTGTAAAGACCACCTAAAACATGGATTAAAATGTTGGACTTAGTTCCATTGCCCATGAAGAAATCAGAAAATGTTCATTTTATACATTTGTATTATTTATCACTTCTGATTCTTATGTTCTCTCCATATTTTATTCTTTTTTTCACAAAATCTTGAGCGAAACGTATAGAGAAATTCCTGATCCAGAATCAAACAAAGGAAACCTGCCAAAGAGAGCACAAACCTCTCTAAGTATTGAAAAATGAACTTCATGGGTTGCCAAACCCAGCATAATCAAATCCGCATCCTGACAATCAGAAGAGATAGCAATGAAACTCATTAACACATTAAACTCAGCACAGACCAGAAAATTTAACAAAGTGGATAGCTTCTCCTGAGAGATCAACACAAATGAAACAGCGCACCAATCCATACAGGCAATGCCTGGTATTTGGATCATAACCGAGAAGATTCCTTTGAAGACGAATGTACGACATAATTTTATGCTCCCCTTCACCAGGAGCATTTGCATCTGAAAGGATAACCTGTGAAGTACTCAGTAATGAGGCCATAGATTCAATTGCAAAATATGTGCTAGTATCTTACAACTGTTAAGGAAGAAAGAAAAAGATAAATCCAATGCATTACCTTGATATTTTTCCAACCAGGATCATAATTTATTCTAAGGTGAATAAAATACTGCAGTGCAATGGAAAGAACAGCCATGAACTCTGTTCCAGGAGTAATCACATTAGAATCAAACACTTGGGAGTCCACTTTAGGTGGGAGCTTTCTCCCCTCCCTCTCGAATTCCTCTCGCAATCGTTCTTCTTCAGCCGCCTGAAAGGTTAACAACAATTTCAATAATCCGGTGTTAGATTCCCACATCTGAAATGTGGAGAAAATTAAGTCCTTATAAGGTCATGGGCACCTTCCCCAACAAGTTAGCTTTTGGGGTGAGTTCTACCCATAGGTTTTGTGCTTTAGTTGGTCCCATTATAGATGAGTGTATTCTATCAATTGGTATCAGCGTTAACCGATCCTCGGATATGCGGACGACCCGGCGAGGAGCACAAAGGGTGCATAGTCACCAGCGACCGAGAAACCACTATCGATCGAGTAGCCACCAATGTCGTGGTCGTCGCTGTCTAAAGGGGTTGTATTGTTAGAGTCCCACGTATAAAATAAGTGGGGAAAATTAAGTCTTTATAAGGTTATGGGCACTCTCCCCAAACAAGTTAGTTTTTGGGGTGAGTTCTACCCATGGACTTTGGGATTTAGTTGGACCCATTACAGGAGTGGGTTCTATCATCCGGCACCGAAGACAAGAAAGAGGGGGATAGAGAAGATGGGAGGCCCATACAGGAACCAATAAAACACACATGGATAAGAATCTGGTAGATGTCAAATGACTCAAATGAATTAGTATCCAATCTAGGCAGAATAAAGAAATCAGACTCTAAGCCACAATCACACATTTGGTAGAATTCAAAGAATACAGAATCCATTGGTGAGTACTTTCCCCGAAATTAAGAGTAAGAAGAATAATAAGTGAGAAATCAAAAGAAAGACGACCTCGAATGTCTAGTATTAAGATGCTATTTTGTGGAGCAGGGTAAAGGATGAAAAGCCAGAGGATAGTTTTTTCCACAGAAACTCAGTGTCTTGAACCTTTGACCCGAAGGTTGCACAATGAAGTATAAAATCCAATACTTTCACTTAGTTTGAATATAGAAAATATTGAAAAACCCTATAAAGAGACTTTTTGCGTTTCTGTTAGAGATATGAACCTATAATTCCCCCTTTTCTAAACTTTCAAACAGAAAGTAAAGCAAATGAAGTTCTTCGATAAAATACAACACAGTAGAAACATCGTGCCTGCGTGAAAAAGTATCAACAAGCACTCGGAATGACATACCGCATCTGCTGCATCTTTAGCTGACCTAAACCGCCTGGACCGCTGTTGATTCATTTTAGCCCTCGGGGCAACACCATCTGAGGCCCATTTTAACCAAATATATGAATATTACGCCTAACATATATTCTTCTAAATTTACATCAATGAATAAGAAACCGCCGAAAAAAAATATATGAATACTCACCTATAGCCATATAGAGTATTTTCCGGGGTCGCACCATAATGAAAAGTCGATCTATATAATCAAACATGCACTGAAATACCTCCTCAAAGGTAGTCGGAGAAGGCTGCAATGGAAAATTCATCGTCAAAACATACTCTTTGAGAGTACAAAAAAAGCTATTCACTAACTCTAATGATCACCAATGAACATTTAGACACGCACACATTCCCAAAAACACCAGAGGCCATCCAAGATATGTGAAAATTAAGAATCGAGTCAGGGAATTGACAGCATAGTGTGTCGAATTGGTAGCACAGGACAAACAAACGGCATATACATTATACAACATCAATTTTCCAAGTCAAATGCACGTTACAAAGACGAGAGCACCCCCGCAACTCCTAAGAACCCTTACGAGGGTCGTAGAAAAAGTAAATTCCAAATTCCAAAACCTCAAATCAAAATCCCAGAATTGCGACGAAGAAAAAAGAAATCGGAATCGAACTCACCCTATCTTCGGGATGGAAGCAAGGATGGATAATACCGTTCATGTCGAGATAGAGATTATCGTACTCTATGTTATTAGGGTTGGGTTTACTGGTATCCACCGGGATTTTGACGCCCTCGATAACGACGGGCTCTTCCTCGATGACATCCACCACTATCAACGGATACTTCTCCGCCAACCACCGGTAAAACGCCGGCACTCCCATTGCTTAATCGTCGGCGAAGCTCAAGATCTCCGGCGACACAGAGTTGGAGAAAAAAATCAACCGAAGAAAACCAAAAGGGGAGAAAGTGAACGAGGACAAGATTCGAATTTTAGATTTAGCAGAAAAGAGTATGCGGGAAAATCTATACACACATTCGTCGCGAGAAGGATTCAGAGTGGCACTGATGGGGATTTCGAGACATTTCGAAGGGTGTTTTCGTCTTTTAGGCTAAGTCGGTTGGATTTTGTGTCCGGTTCGGCTGTTGTTACAGCTGTTACCGTTTTTTGAGCGGTTTGTGTGACAATTAACGCGAGTGACGTTAGTAGCGTAGCGTTGGACGGAAAACAGCCTATTCTTTAGCGGCTACAAAAACATTAAAATATCACATTACATTCTATTTTCATCAACAACAGCAGCATTGTCTCGCTCTCAAATTTATTTAAAACCGATCACATAGAATTTTTCATTTTCATTTATTTCGATTTCGATTTGAAGATGTACCAATATCAATTAAATTTGAATCACGAAAAATACGAAATAATTTATTTTCAAAAAAAATAATAATAACTGAATTTGTCCAATATAGAAATTCCAACTAAATGACCGTACAACAAATATCTCATCTAAGTCCGAATAAAAACTAGAACTCAATAATAATCTAAAAATATAGATAATCTCCCCTTGAAGTTTATTATCATCTTATATAGATAAATCTTTCGGTATTATTTGACTTTCGACAGTGTAGATATCCTTACGAGAATAGTAGGACCAGAATCTATTTAGGTATAGAAGTTAAATTCCATGTTTTTCTATGCGTGGCATTTGGGCGGGGTTAAGAAATGCATTATTGGGCTTCTTCAAGAGCCCAAAGCAAATTAGTGGAACAGTGGTCCATTAAACTTGACCAAAGGTCAAAAGCGTCATTTCATAATTCCCAATAATTTCGTCCACAAAAGAAAAGTTCACATCCCCCCCCCTCCATAAAGCGAAAGGAGCCAAAAGGAAAGGAGACGAACGTGTGGATCTCTTTTCACTCCCCACTGCCCACTGTTCATCTTCTTCTTCCTTCTCCCTCTCTCTCCTACAACATGTTCAACGAAATTCCACCTCCTCTCTTCACTCCCCAACCCTCGGATCTCTCCCTCAGCAACCTTCCTCCACAACCATGTCTCTTCTGATCAGATCCTATCGCGTCTCTCACACCCCCGATCGCAATATCCTACTGCCCAGAAACTCGAAACCCTCGTGTCACATCGTTCGAAACCGGGTCAGATTCGGGTCGATCTCGGGTTTTAATCGCAACCCATTTCTCCGTTTGGTGTATACTCGCAAACCCAGAATGGAATCTGTTTCTTCTTCTTCTCCGGTGATTGTGAAAAGTTCCTTGATCGACCCAGACGGCGGAGCTTTGGTGGACTTGGTGGTTCCGGAGTCGGAGCTCGGGTTGAAGAAATCGGAGGCAGAGGCCATGCCGAGAGTTAGGCTGACGAAGATCGATTTGGAGTGGGTACATGTGATCAGCGAAGGTTGGGCAAGTCCCTTGAGAGGGTTCATGAGGGAAGACCAGTATCTGCAGAGTCTGCATTTCAATTCTCTGAGGATGAGTGATGGGTCTGTCGTCAACATGTCGCTTCCTATTGTTTTGGCCATTGATGACGAGACCAAGGAACGTGTCGGGTCGTCCGAGAATGTCGCTCTTGTCGGGCCTGATGGAGATATCATCGGTTCTCTCCGGAGGTACGTTTGGCTCGTTTCTGACATTTTGATCCGATTCAGATGTTTGTGTGTGTTTTGTTAATGAAATTGGCGAGATTCTAACTCGAGATCTCTCTTACAACGCCTGATCGAGACAAGACTACAGACTCAAATACTCTATATGTGAAACAAAGTCTTGATTTTTTTCTTTCTTTCTTCGTATAACAGATTGAGTTCTGTCCTGTGATTTAGTTATTCAATTATGTAGCTTGTGTTAAGGCATAGAAAACAATGCCTCTCTTGATATTGGGTGTTGAGGAAAACATATCTGAAACGAGTTTGATGCCGATGGTCATGAAAGAGTTTAATCTGACAACTGAGATGCAGATATTAGGAATTGAATGACATTAACTAGAATTTGAGCTAATTTCTTGTTTTTTGTTTTGGACCTGATCATCTCAGTTGTCTGCTGGATTCACTTGCTTTCTTTATCTGAAGTATTTCAATTAGATTCTTCACGTTCTTGACACCTTTTTTGAATCTCTTTTTGTAATGCAGTATTGAAATATACAAGCACAACAAGGAAGAGAGAATTGCTCGAACTTGGGGAACTACTGCACCAGGATTGCCTTATGTAGAGGAATACATCACCCGGTCCGGAAACTGGCTGATTGGTGGAGATCTTGAAGTGTTTCAACCGGTTAAGTATAATGACGGGCTCGATCATTACAGACTCTCTCCTAAACAACTTAGGAAAGAATTTGATCGGAGGCAGGCAGATGCGGTTTTCGCTTTCCAGTTAAGGAACCCTGTTCATAACGGCCATGCCCTTTTGATGAATGATACTCGTAAAAGGCTTTTGGAAATGGGTTATAAGAACCCTATTCTATTGCTTCATCCCTTGGGAGGTTTTACCAAGGCCGACGATGTGCCTCTGGATGTTCGGATGGAACAACATAGCAAGGTAGATTATTGATCTTCTCTTATAGATATTAGATACTATTCTTGAACTAAACTGATGAATCTTGTAAGAGCATAAAATATCATACAGAATATGCTGTCCTGAGGTGATGGAGAATGGCTGCAAAGTTCAGAAAATTCTCAGTTTTAGTGTTAGAAAATGCCAAATGTTTGAAAATCTAATAATTTTTTATAGCAGGTTTGATCATATTGTTCAAAGATTGATTCTTTCCTTTCAATATGCAGGTTCTTGAAGATGGAGTTCTGGACCCAGAGACTACCATTGTCTCGATATTTCCATCACCGATGCACTATGCTGGTCCAACTGAAGTCCAGTGGCACGCAAAGGCGAGGATAAATGCCGGTGCTAATTTCTACATAGTTGGCCGTGATCCTGCTGGAATGGGCCATCCAACCGAGAAGAGAGATTTGTATGATCCCGATCATGGAAAGAAAGTTCTAAGCATGGCCCCCGGGTTGGAGAAGCTCAACATTCTGCCATTTAGGGTAATGTTTCATTACAAATTCCGTACCTTTTTTCTCTTCTCAAAACATTTATCTGGTCATTTATTTTTGGAGTATATGATCTCGGGAAAAACCTTTGATAAAAAAACGTCTTCGAGCTTGAATCACAGGTGGCAGCATACGATATTACTGAGAAGAAGATGGCTTTTTTCGATCCCTCTCGGGCCAAAGATTTTCTTTTCATTTCTGGCACCAAGGTAATGCAATTGTTTGATGAAACATTACTCTGTTCTTGGAATCAACATATTGCTTTCAATCTTTAGGGTACTTAGTTTCTTGATTTTTTACGAGTTTGAAGTATAAAACTCATGATGTTACCATCGTAGAGCATCATTATTGGGCTCATTATTTTGGTTTCGATAAAAATAATAACTATTTGATTTTTTATATTGAATTTGGTTCGTTTTGATTCTGATTCTGTTCGGATTCGGTTTTATTGATAAAAGTGTTCATTTTTAAAAGGGTAAATTCAATTTAAATTCCTAAACTTGTAATATGGTAGAAGATTAATTCCTAAACTTTTTGTTTGATAAATTTATTCTCAAACTTGCAAAATGTATAATTATAATTCTCAAACTTATGAATTTGGTCATTATAATGACACATTTTGCAAGTTTGAGAATTAAAATGATACATTTGTAAGTTTTAGAATAAATTTGTCAAGTAAAAAGTTTAGAAATTAAATTTCCAGCATTTTACAAGTTTAGAAATTTTAATGGGTTTTATCTTTTTTTTAAATTAAAATTTTCGTTTATTTTTTCTATTCAATTCGGTTCAATTCAATTACGATTTTTCAATTCTAGAAAAATCATATTCATTTGGTTTTTATATCCAAATTCAATTCGGTTATGGATGTGTTATTATTTAGTTATTAACCAAATTGGTCACCTCTAGGTAATGACTCTAAAGACTCCTAGATTAGATCATTTACATAAATTCCGACAATACATTTATACTTGTATAAATGATCATTTGGATTCTTGTTTGATATCCGAAATCTGCAGATGCGAACTTACGCAAGAACGGGCGAGAACCCGCCTGACGGATTTATGTGTCCGAGCGGGTGGAAAGTCCTGGTGAAATATTACGAGAGCTTGCAAGAAAACGAGGCGTCTACTCAGAAACCGGCCGCCGTTGTTTCCTCCTAAGAAGTTTTAACCTTTTGAAAAGGGAATCAGAATTCCCTGGCGGAGCCAAGGAGGAAGAACAGTAAGGAAGCCATGGATGGACCAGGTCGAGCTTTTTCTTTATTCACTGTTAACGATGAATGGAGGAGGCTGTTTGCTTGTTAACACAGAACATTGCATTCCAAACCGTTTTGAGTTTTAATAATGTGAGTCCTATTTTTTTGCTTCATGCTTTTTTTTTACAATTAAATCCGGTTATTGATTAAGGTTGTAGTAATTTTTTCTCTCAAGTTCTCCTCTTTCTCAAGTTTTCTAAAAATAAAAGTTAGTACATTCCATTAGTCTTGCCCCAATCTTTAACATCAATATTTTATTGCAATTGATTATTTATTTCTTAAATAAATCGATTTTTTGTAACATTTGTAGGATTTAAATTTTGGTTTCTTTTGTTTTTCAAATGACCTTAACGTTTTTATTAAAAATAAACGCCAATGCAAAAACACAATATATATATATATATATATATATTATATGTATATAAAGATATAGATATAGATAGCATATACAAAACAGTTAGTCCAAAAGAATACATGAAAATATATTTTCACAGGCTTTCACAAGTAGAAGAAGAAGAAGAGAAAGAAATAACAGATACCATATTATTATTATTATTATTATTATTATTATTGAGTTACTTTGCTTTGGAGGAGAAGAATCTGCTGAGTCCTCTGGAGTGTTTCTCATGTGCAACTCCTGAGACAGAGCTTGACTTGGTGTGTCTATGTTTCGCCATCTTCGATGAAACGGGAGATTTCATCGTCGTTACTGTCATCTCCTTGTCTGAATTCGAGCCCCTCTCTCCCGTCTCTGATTCAGTTTGATCTTCTTCTCGGCGACATCTAGAATTCGAGATTTCGCTCTCGAGGTTTAGGGTTTGTTCCATTTGCTCGGCTTGAGGACGCAGCGACTTAAGTTGCTTCCCGAGAAGCAGTATCGTCTCTTGACACTCTGCTAATTTCTCTGCAGCAGCCTCCAGCTCTTTCTCCTGTTTATCAACCGTAAACATTTTTAACCGATTATGTTTCAGGACAAAGCAAGATTGCTTCAGTAAGATCACTCAATGTTTTAACTAACTCGTTTAGTTAACTGAATCCAACTGCCCGGTTATGACATGTGAAAGTAGAGGTTGGCATAGATCGGGTAACCGAGATTTTCAGGTTACCCAAATGTGGATATTACTAGGGGTATGAGAATCCAAATCCAAAATTTTAAAAGGTTTTTAATAGGTTTGTATCATTTTATTGTTTATTCGGGTGACCGCAGTTAAAACCTGATCTCGGATTCAGTTAAGCCGATCGAAATCCGAATTTTATGTGAAAGTGCTTGGTTAAAGCTGAGAATTTAGGGGTTAGAGTTTGAAGGACTACCTGTGTCTTTTTCTGGTCAGTCTCTCCTGATGAACAGTCTGGACATCCGTGGTTCCTGAATTTTTGTAGGGCAGAGTTAAAATGTGATGTAATGTCCGAATATCGAAGATTAATGGTAATGAGTAGTAGTTTCGAACCTTTGCAATTGTTCTTCAAGTTCTTGACATCGGGTTGAAGCCTCGAGGTGACCTTGCTTTTCCTCATGAAGCTCGTCTTCTAAGCTTTCGATCGATTCTTTCAGCGAGTTCACTTCATTCTCCAACTCGGTCGATCTTGTTTCGAGAGACCTGTAGGATTCCACCATGCATTTCAGCTGCGTCTCAGCTAAGCTATTCGATTTCCGAGCAGATTCCAATTCGGACTTCACTTCTTCGAGCTGTTGTTCTGTTTCTCCCAGCTTAGATTTCAATTCCTCGAGGCTTTCTAGGCAACTAGCGAGTTCGGCATCCACTTTCTCTTTCTCCATTTTCAATGCCTCGAACTCTTCGGCTGTGAATTTACATGGTGATGGCTTTGGCTCGTAACTAGAAATTACATTGCCATCTTCGGGAATCAAGGTATCAGAACAGTTGTTTTGGTCATGTTCATCTGATGAGTCTTGAATTGCTCGTTTTTCAGGTAAAGCAACCTTATCAATGCAATCAGGGCTGTGAATCTCCAACTCGGAAACGTTAAATCCCAACACTGCAATTTTCAGCTCACTTGCTTGCGCTAAAACATGAGAAAGATCATGTAGGAAGTCGATCAAAGTCTTCTCATCGAGTAAGACTTTATCAAATGTGGCAGAGAATTCCTCAATCTTTTTTATGAAAGATCGGCCCTCGGCAAATGAATCCTGAGATGCCCTTGAATCTTTTGAGAGGAAGGAGACAAACCTGTGAATCCTAGAAAGAGCATCAACCAATTCTTGACTCATTCTCTCATTTTCCGCCCTTGAAGCAGCCTCTCCTGAAAGATCGTGACTTTCAGAAGCCTTATCTCTAATGACGAACTGAAACTCAGCCAAGATCTTATCAATGGCAGTATCCTTCGGGAGAGACTGAAGCAAGTTGGAGATTCTTTTCTTGAGCTGAATCGCTGGTTGTTGCTCATCGTCCATATCAGATCTTTTCTTGTTTGGAGAATCAGAAATATCGGTAGAACCGTTACCGTTTGAGTCGTTTGATAGACAAGCAAGCTTTTCCATTTCGAGAAAATCATCCATAAGCTCCAAGTGGTTAACACTATCAGCCTTGTTGATCTTCAAACTGCTCTTATCCCTGTTGGATTGAGACAAGTCAGACATCGCCATTGTTGACCAGGACCCAGTCAAGCTTCTTGTCTCCTCATTTCCATCCTCAGACAGGGACGCCAAACTAGGAGGATTACTTGCATTTTGTCTAGTGGGACTTTTACTCATCCATTGAGCTTCCAAGGATTGTAGTTTGTTTGCCGTCTTAGCGCAAAGATTCCTCGACACTTGAAGCTCGTTGTTACGTTTCGCCAAAGCTTCTTTCAGAAATTTTGTCTCTTCCTCCATTGCCAGTAACCGTTCTGTCAGGAACTCGTTTTCTTTGTGGAACTTCTGTGAATTGTCGAGGGAGAACTCGGAAATGTGAGAGAATTGTGACATTGGAGACATCAGAGGACTAGATGGCTTGACGGGTGATCTCCTAATTCGAGAATCAACGTAGTCTCTGCCTAAACTCTCAACCTCCATTTTCATCTGTGCAAGAGCTGCAGGACCTGGAAGTTTCTTCCTCACAAGACCTCGTAATCGTTGGCATTCGGCTTCAAGCTTCACGATTTTCTTGACACTCTCCATATTTTGTTTGTTTGCTGCTTCCGCTGACCGCATGCTCATGTTCTTCTCTTCGTTACGGATTTCCAACTCTTTGGAAATGACGTGCAGTTCATACTTGAGAGAGCTTATTTCCCTTTCACAAGACTCGATATTGCTCTTGAGATGCTCGATCTCGGATTCTGCTTGCGATTTTTCTTCGCTTATCCGAATAAGCATGTTTGATCGTTCTTGCAACGATCTTGAGAGGGCATCGTTTTCAGCTGCGGCTTGTAGGAGTTCTTGTTCGAAGTCTGCAACCTTGGCTTCAAACTCAACCCTCACTTTGTCCATTTGCTTGGTGTTGGATACAATAACATCTTTCAGCTTCTGCTCATTCTCTTCCTTTAAACTCCGTACCTGTCTCATACACTCCTTAAGGGCACCGTCTAAATGTTCGGCCCTGTCTTCAGCAGACAACTTTGACAGTGTTACCGATTCAAGGTGAGTTTTCAAAGCCGAAGCTTCTGCTTCGGCTTTCTCCCAACCTGCAATATACAAATACCCATGATTTCATATTCAATACCACAAAAAATAAAAGATCATTGCCATGTTTTGTCCATACCTGAGACAGCTTCCTCAGCAACTTTAGAATGCTGTTTCACCAAGCTGTCTTTTGCGGTGATTTCCGCATCAGCGGCTGATAACTTGTCGTTGAGATCCTTGATCTGATCTTCCAACTCCTGAACTTGTCCCTCATACTTCTTGACTTCATCCTTCAAACTAGTTAGCTGCGAGTATTGTTCAAAGGAGATCTGAATGTAACTTGGCTTCTTGTTACCGTCCTGCATTTTTCAACCATCCCAGGATGAATAGTGAACAATCTCAAAATTAGAGGCAAGTACTTCTATTTTTAGGTAATCCAAAACAGAGTTTTTTGCACTTAAAATGGCAAGAGGGCCAATTATTTGTTCAATCATACAATTACATTGAACAATCTGGGAAACAATTGCGTTGAGATTAAGTACCTGCTCTCCTTGAGAAGCAACAATCTCTGTGGCGGCTGCGCATTTGTCCGAAGATTTCTTCTTCCAGGGCCAACTCCGGCGATCCATCTCCTTCTCTGCAGTACCGAAAAAAGACAAAAAGGTGAATACTGAGATTTGAGAAGCTCAATGGCATTATGGATCAAATATAACAATAGATGAAAACAAGAGTTTCATCACTGTGAAACCCATGATTCCAAATCATAATCGCTATCCTCCAAAAGAGTGGCGCCGGTGTTCCATTGTAATCTCAGAAATGGATTATATGCAACAGCACAGCTGATCTTGTTCGAGCAATCGGAGGATAATCAAACAGTCCAAGAACGCAGTTCCAGAAAGGAAACGAAAGTTAGCCTTATTCGATTACCCGAGATCCAACAGCAGAGCATTCTTACGCAGAAGATCTCATTGCTCTCTAATCGAGGATGGGAATCAAGTGGAACTAAAAAATAAAAATGCAGTGCCGAATTCGAAATCAGAATGTAACGAACGTGGACCCTCTGATCTTATGAGCTCTAAAGCTTGAAACAGCATCAACGACGAGAATCCAATGCAAGCCGGAGGGGAAATGCTACTTAATTTGAAATCGGAGACAAAAAGATTTCCAGACATGTAGAAACCTCTGATCTTACAGAGCTTCAAAACTTGAAAACAGTATCAAAGGCGAAAAATCCAATGGAACCCAAACAAAAAAGCAGTGCCGAATTTGGAATTGGAATAAAAAAAAAACCCAGATATGCAGAAACTCTGATATTTCTGGGCTTGAACATTCGAATCAGAACAACGAAAAAGTAGAAAGAGAAACAAATACTCGAATACCTCCAAGATCGATCGGAGCGAAATCGCGACAAAAGCCAACGCTAGAATCAGTAAACAGTATAGCTCAGGAACAGAGAAACGCAACGCAACAAAACCTCGAAAAAGCAAGCAAAACCATTACCGACGTCTTTACGATTTCCCAAAAAAAAAATCACCGACGTTGTAAAGCGAGGACACGAACACGGCAATAGCAGAAGCGGCAGAGCAAAAGCGTAGTTCAGAATTCGAATAAAGCCAAAAAAAACAGAGAAATATCCATGGAAGACCAAAAATATCCACGAAACGAAGAATCTCTAGCTCCGAAGCAGAATTCACTCACCGGTGAATCAAAATGCAGCAGCGAAACAGAATCTCCCGAAGAAAATATCAGTAGACGGATTCAAACTCTTCCTCCGATTTCAACCCAAACAGAACCCTTTCTCCGATCAGAATTCCGGCGAATTCGGGATTCAGAAATCTGAGCTCAATACTCGATCGAGAGAGAGAGAGAGAGAGAGAGAAGGTGGTTATGGATGGTGGAGACAGAGGTGGGTAAGGTGAAAATCCTCTCTGGCTTCTGTGTGTATGACTTAAAAGGCAAGACGTAGCAGACGAAGCTCTTCTACATAAACAATACTAAAAAATAACCAAATAATTTCAATTATTATTATTATTATTATTATTATTGATGAATTTAATATCGTGAATATAAAATTACAGAGAAACAGAGACATGTATCACGTACGCTTCTCGTTTTAAAAGAAGACAACAGGGAAGAACCCAAGGCTCAATGACTTATTTTCTGTAGAAACGAATACTTGTTACAATTTTATTTTGTGGTCCCTAATAACTTGATAATAATATAATCCCATCCCATAACAAAAAATCATTTCTATTTTAAAATAATCTTTTGAAATTTTAAATAGATATATAAATTCATTTTTATATATTGTGTTTAAGCAGAATTCAAACTTATTCAAACAAAAAATAGAAATATCATTAACAAAATAATAATCTATAGGAGTAAACCATAATTAATATCTTGAGGAGATGAAAAACACATAATTTGTCAAAAAAACAATATATAATTTAAAAATTGGTATAGAAATGGAATATATATATATATATATATATATATATATGTGGGGGGTATTTTCATCATAAAAAATATATATAAATTTGAGAAGAAAAAAAAAGAAACAATATTGTGAGTTATTAAAACAAAAAAAGAACAAAACCATAGCTTTCATAGAGTAGTGACGAGATAAGTAAATACGCTCGATGATTTATTATGAACCGTCTTTTTCTTCCCCTACCGCCTACCCTACGTAATAATTATTCGTCTCTTCTTCTTGCCCTTATAAAGGGTAAATCCGTCCTTTTGAATTTCCATCAATTTTCTATTTTCTATCTCTTTTTTTTGTAGGACATCGCCTTTTAAAATACTTTCACTCGACTTATAAAGTTTTTTTTTTTGAATAAATCCTACAATGATTTCCTTTTTATTTAATGTTAATAAAAACAAATTCAATCCTGGGTGAATACTGAATTTTGTCGTCTAATAGTGTATATAAAATACTTATATATACAAAACCATAATCCCCAAAATTTTGTATATGATATGACATTTTCATGTGGAAACTCATCCAATTTTATTCTGCCTATCCTTGCTTATTTTGATAATTAAAGTAATTTACATATCATTTAGCGGATCGACAAAACCACGTTCCCTTGATTTTTGTCAAATCAATTTTTTTTTGGGATATATATATATATATATATATATATATATATATAATAGGTGTTTTTGTCTTGTGGGAAATACCGAAGTAACACGAGAGAATCTTTTTTTTTATGAAACTGTAACCATTTATTTATTCAGATTCGAGCGATGAAAATTACAAAATTCTAAATAATTTTGAATTTAAAATATAAAATGAAATGAAATAATTTCCGCCTGTAGACGATTATTAACAAAAATGAAATGTTCCATTTTCTAATTCCTTCATATGTCCCCAAAACAGTCCTCTCATGAAAATATGTGACATGATCCCATATAACAATCGCACTATTAATATAACTAAAATTTGAAATATTTATTTATATATGCTGAATAGTATTTATCTATTTCTGTTGATTAGGGGCATATTTTCCTATAAATACGTTAAAAAAAATTTATTTATTATTTCTTTTTGACAATAAGGATACATGAAAAGAGAATAAAGGAAACATGATTATTGAGGCCATTTTCTTTGTTAAAAAGTTAAGATGGCTTTGGCTTTACATAATAATTATAATTAGTTCGGTTAGTATATCATACATCTATCTATTTCAACTAACAGCTGTTAGTATTAATCTGAACCTCTTACGTATATATACGTAATTCATATTATATGATAATAAAATTTATCAGGTAATTAATGAATAAATAATAATAATCATAATAATAATTACATTGATGATCAATTTAAGATAAAGAAATAAATAAATCACTTGAGGATTCATAAAAATAGATACTATAATAAATAAATAACTATTATTTTGGAAAACATATTTAATTACATTATTGTAAAAAAAATATATACTCTATGTTTCAATAATAAATAGGGTTTACAATTTTTTTTTTCTCCTAAAATTCTGACAGCAAAGCCTTAAACAAGGAGCAAACCAAAAGGTCAACATCCAACTGTTGTCAAACAGCAGCTGACAGAGAGGATGACACGTGTCATTTTCACAGTATTAGCAATTCAGTATTACGGTGGTGTGCGTTGTACCAGATATTCGCTCCAATCCAATCCAACGGCTGGGATCGCATCTCGATGTTTTTATACTTGGCTTCTCTTCGCCGTAAACAAAAAGCTTCAAATTCCACGCGTATTTGATTTTTATTTGTTCTTTTGAAAATAAAAAACTAATATTCCTTATATATAAATGTAATAAAAAATAAATTTTCAGGAATAAGACTGAAATTAAATAATAATTTTTTAGGTGATAAAGTATTATAAAAGAATAAAAGGTTAAAGAGGGAAAAGTATAAAAAGTAAAAAGATTAACAATGCTGAGCAAGTTTGGGATATTCCTGAGCTGTATGTAATCGCATTACTGATAATGATTAAACTTTATTAATCCGATTAATTAAAACACTTTATTAGGTTTATCCAATCATAAAGCGCCACGTTGTCTTTTAAGTCACGTGATTGATCTGTCTTTGGGTGATTACGTGACACGTGTGTATCGGTACTTGTTTCCGCATGATGATAATAATAATAATAATAGTAACCTAATTTTACGATAATCCCCAAATCAAAAATTATTTGTCATGTTTCGAATGTAAACATTTAAAACGAATTTAAATTGAAAAAATTATTATGTAAATAAGAGTAATGATTGTTCATAGAATAAAACAATCTTATGAATAATTGTTAAAAATGATTTTATTATAATTAAAACAAAATTATTGGAGACATTAACAATAGTATATATATTCTAGTTTGAACTATATACTAAATACCACGTATCAAAATTCATTTAGCGGTATTCGGCGTGTCTCTTCCGAAATCAAAATTAAAATACGCTAATCACATGTTTAGAAGATAAGATTTTTTTTATTCAATGGGCAAGTTTTAATATACGAGTAATCTTATTAATATTTTTATATTTATCAAAATCATTTTATAAAAAATATTAGTATCTAACTAGAAACTAGAAAGTAGAGTAAACTTTGAGTTGCCACATGGGATAATGGGCAAAATATTAATCTGACATTATACATATACACTTTCATTATATAATCTAATATATATATATATATACGGTTTAATACATGATCCTATGCTAGAGATTAACTAAAAACATCTCGGGATGTCTTTGAGATTATTCAACATATGAGTATTTTTGGGATCCTGAACGGATCCAAGAAAAATTCACACGTTCACAAATATCAATGTCATTAGGGATTAGACAAAATTAATTTAAAGTAAAAACAAACTGAAATCAACTTCAATTCAAAAGGCAATTTTCAATCCAAATTCATATACACTGAATTACATATAAGAATTTAAAGAAAATCAAATATAAAATAAAATCGATTTTGAATTATAAATAAATTTTAACAAAAACTATCTTCAATCCAAATTCATCTAATCTGAATGAAATAGATGAATCACATGCGAGTCACAAAAGCAGGGTGGGACCCTAAAATGTGAAAAGTATAATTAGCTAAGTTGAAATAATGTATTAAATTTATTGGGATTCGTAATCCAATCTCTGACATTATAACATTTTACCTATGATGACATTCGTACATATATCAAATATGCATATATATATATATATGTATATATGTATGTATCATAATCTTAGACATTTATAACATTTGTGTGTGTGTGCGTGTAGGGCTATGATTTCATCCCTATTTTAGATATATAGGCCCCGATCATAAAAAAGATGCCCTAGTTTTCATTTCCTAAAAACTAATTGTTAGGCTAAAAAAATTGAATGATTATTATTTATAAAAAAAAATCGAATGATGAATATCATGATTCTTTGGGTGAAACAAAAAACGACATCGTTTCGAGAAACCTGGAATTGGTTAGCGACAATAGGCTTTCCCTAGGCGTTGTCTAAATTGTCATCCTAAATCCATATTTGTAAAATAAAATATTTCTAATTCATTTTATCAAAGACGATAATATGATTAAATTAAAGAATACAAAAATCTATTTTTTAGATGATATATAATTTATGTAGTATATACTATATATATTGTTATATCTGAGTTTTTAAAAATAAAAAGCACAAAAATCTATTTATATAATTGATGTAATATATAAATAGTTTATTCTGAATTCCTTTTATTGGCGAAACGGTTGTATAAGGATTGAAAATGATATATAAATATATAATCTATATGATATTACTATATGAACATGTGGATTGATGTTTACAAATGCATTTTCAAATCAATTGGAATTTGGATGTAGAGGTACAAATATTTTTTGGGCATATATTGTTAGTAAAAATATATAGTTTAGGTGAAAAATAATGTTTTACTATACGTTGCAAAATGTTATAAATATATTTTTAATTTGGAATATTTTGAGAGTAATTCTTTTCAAATATATATTTTTACTTTTTTGCGTGAAATAATATTTGACTTATTCTTTTAAAGATATACATTTTTTAAAAATATTTAAAAATTTTCATTGAATGTATTTTCTTCATTTACTCTAACGTTTTCTATCTCCAGTATTTTTGTTTTGTATAAGTTCGATATATCATTTATCAGTTTTATTATATTAAAATGCGATATGCATTTTGATATAATAAAGTTGTCGTTTAATTTAATCTACTGTTTTCCCTAATGTCCTTATCTGGACAATATGACAGATTAGCGTTGTAACAATGACTCATTCAAACCTAATTAAGGCAGTCAAATTATAAACGCGCTTAATTACTTAAAGTTCAATTAATTAATTCCATGTTACAATATATATATACACTCTAATGATAAGACGCTATAACTCACACGAAAATCTTCAACGCGATAATGACATAAACAATGCTTAGATTAATTCCCTAATATGACTATCAGA